ATTGCCTCGCTGTCGATATGAAACAATTTGGGTAGCGAAATTGGGTTAGCCAAAGCAAATACATAAAGAGCATCTGACACGGTCCTAAACTCTCTTCGTTTTAATGGAGTTGTGTGAATTGCCAACTATAATTATTAGAAAATAGAAATATATTAAAGAAATTACTAAGTATTCCAATGATTGTTTTTCTAGAAAACCAAACAAGTGGATATTTCTTTAATTACAATTCATTAATTTGAAGCTCACTTCAACCCACACCTTGCACTTTAATTACCCTGCCAACAAAGAAAATCCTGTAAATATAATCACAGACAACTGAAAAAAAATAACGAAAAATCCCCCAAAACCTCAACCAAAACCCACTTCAAATCCCCAAAATGATCCAGTGTTGGAGCCGCAATAACAACAATGCAGAGATAACATTTAAGCGAAATCGCTTTAAAATCAATTAACCGTAAAATCACTCGCCTATTTGCAACAACAATCGAAAATGCGGGGGTTGCGAGGAGTATGGAAGTCCCGCAGGCGCCGGGAAAATGGACAACAATCAAATGTGGTGGCAATAACATTAGCCCCGGTCCCCCGAATATCCCCCAATTCCCCCAATGGTCCTCCACCTACTCATTGTATCGTGCAAACTGCAGATGCGAACCCCAATATGCTGGACACACAACCCTCGCTTTTGATGCTGCACTTGACCCTTTCCGCGGAAAATGGACGTGCTGCCAGGTATTAACCTCCATTAAATGTTAAACAAAGCCGCGTTACACATGTGCGATGAACGAGTTGGAAAAAATATGTCCATATATGTATATATACACAACGCCCCCCATTCAGGCCGCCAAACATTTCGATTAACATACGCAAACACGGGCTGAAAGAAAAGCGCGGCGAAAAAGTGAAAAGTGGGAGAAATGACCGGCGTGGAAAATGCAAAAAAAAAAAAAAGAATAAATACATGAAAAAAACCAGTGGGTGTACGAGTATAGAAAGCCGGCAAATTGAATTGCTGGCAAACAAGTAGCTCCTGCAGGAAGTGAGATGGGAAAAAAATATATACAGGAACTAAAAGAAAAGCTACGGTTTTACAGATACACTTCAACAATTTGCTTAAATGTAAGAACCAAATGAATACACCTGTAAAACTTCAACTATTTTTTTTAAATATTAAAATACAGTTTTATCCTGTGATAGTGTTTTTTTTTTTACTAGTTTAAATTAAGCTTACTAAAAGACTTAAATTGCAAAAAAAAAGAAAGAAATGTAGGTGAAAAATTTGCTTTTAAAAATAGCTTAGGTTGTTGCTCGCTCTCCACAGCATCCATTTATTATCTAAATAAATTCAATTAAATTAATGATATCTAGCTTTTTTAAAGTCTCTAAAATCATAATACCCCTATGAAGAGTATAGAAAAGAAACGCCCAAACATATATAAGCATGTGTATATGCATTTATCTGAATATGCACACACGTTATGTGGGTACGTATATGGGGAACATGAGGATCATCATCAGCTCCATGGTCATCAGAATCGTTTTAAACAAAACGGACTAATTAAGCGCACGTTGGCCGTGTTGGTCCTTGAGTGGCTAACCAGGAGAAGGGGGAGTGAGAAGGTGGGCGGTGTATAGTGGGTGGTGGGAGGTGCCAAAGGTGAGCCAAGGGCGCCAGGTGTTTGGGTGTGAACTGGCTTATTAATGGGTAGCCGCCTTGAAAAGGAGAAAAGAACGAGAGAGATATTGCACACAGCACTTGGCTTATTTTCAATTGGCAAGTGGCTAAAGGATTTGCCATCCCATCGCACACACACTTTTCCCCAGAATTTTCCTATTAATGAAAATGGCTTCGGTGGCACATTCAAGACAGGCAGAGAAATCGCTTTTTGAGTAGTCAACTCGGTAGGAATAAAACGTCTGCTCTTCCCCGGACTTAAGACGCTTTGATGTATGTGTGTCAGAGTTTTTCCCTCCCCCTCGCAAATCCATTCCCATATGTATCGCCCCGCTAAATCCGTCTTTGAATAATGATGCCGTTGATAGCTGGGATTATACTCAGACCCACATGTACCATATATATACAAATAAATATATATAATATATATGGTAGGCGTCGGTGTAGCCAGGCCATTTATTTATTATGCCACAATATTCAATGACCCTTAATGGCATTTCGTAATAAAAATATTGGATTAGTTTGTTAGTCTTTCGAGCCAGAGACAACCATGTCGGCCATCAACCACCATCGAACCAGCCCAGAAATCACCCAAAAACCCATCCAACTGGCCACTCGTCACTTTATCAACTCGACCCATGCACATTACATATTCCATTAAACGGCTAATGAGCCCATTGTGCTTCTGGACGAAATTGTGGCATTTTGGGCGGGATGCGGTTCAGGTGCCATGAGAGATCAAAAGAAATTATTGGGGCGATTTTATGCTATATTCAAACAAATATTTCAAGGATTATTCAAGAACTTGCTCTTGATATATCATAGTTTGTTTTACATTTTTAAAGAGATTATCAAAGTATAAATAATACTGTATGACGAGGAACACATTTATTTTAAGGCTTCAGAACATTAGTAGGAATGTAGTTAATGTAGTAGCAAAAGTAGAAATTTAGTCAAAATGGGGCTTGTACCCAGTTTATAGGGGTAATTTTGGTATTTCGGCCTCTCCTGTCGCCGATTGCCTGCCATATTCATGCGGCTTATTAAAATATTAAAAACCTTTGACCCAAAACTTCTTGGTCAGCTGCTCCGGCACGTATTTTGGATGGGAATCCGGAACAAAGTTGGAAACCTGGAAACCGGATCCGTATCCGGAGTCGAAGTCGATGTTTTGGGCCCGGGCATGCATGTGACATAATAAATATTAATGACAGCTGACCGGCAAGGAGATCTGAACACCGCCCAGTGGGTGGTGGCATACTGATGATGATGTGTGGTGCCGGAGGAGGTGGGTGGTGGTTCGGTGGGTGGTGGGTGGTGGGTAATGGGTGGTGCGGTGGCGGATGCTTCTACTTTTCCTACTCTGCGTTGACGTTGACACACATTCGACATGTGACAGATAAATTATGGCAATTGGACGAATGCCGACACACCTACATTAGAGATGGTAAAAGGTGACGAAATAATCGTAGTTTATGTATCAAAATATATAGATAGTCGCTAATATTGATAAGCAAACAGTATATTTTCAACCAAAAGTAAACATTTTAATTCGATAAATAATTGTAAGGTTAAATTGTATTTATTCAACGATATATTTATTAAAAACTATGCAATTCAAATTGAAATTATCCTGACGATATGCATCTCTAGGAAGTGCACCCTCCGCCTTAACCCAACAGTGGCCAGCAGAGTTAACCCTCCAGTGCACAAGCAGTCATGCCATTTCTGCCATGAGATCATTTTTCATTTTTCCCCGTACTTGTTCCTGGGGTTGTGACATATGTGGGTTGTCTTGGCGGAAGGCGAGGTTTCACTACTAATAGTTTTTCTTTTTTCGTTACTCGTATTTTCGTATGGGTTTAGTTCACTATCAATAAACGTCGCTCGTAATCGACGTATTCAAAATTGACCAGAGGTCTCTGATGTGTTTTCGTTTCGATTGATGAAAGGCGAAACCACCCCCTCCCTTCATTTCCCCTCCCCATTCCAAAGGTCATTAGTTCAGAGCCCTGCGTGTTGACTTTCATTAGAAGCCATGGCCCAGGGTCATTGTCAGGGCGATTTTTCAACCTCCCAGAGATAAATGCGAGGTCATCAATATCGGGCGGAATAAGTCGGCGAATGCATAAGGAATCGCAGATCCAGGTGGGACATCGGTTGTTATAGGTAATGATATCTTTAAGTAACCGCAATAAGTAAGCTCCACTTGAAGAAATGCGTCTTGAAATGTTTTTGTAAATTTGTATGCAATTACAATACTTTTTTGGGCTCCCAGTTTTATTTGTTTAATTAATTTAATTGAATTTAAATATTATCACTTAGGATAACATTGTTTTTTTTTGTTTAAAACTAAATCAGGACCCATTTAAATAGAGACCATATAATCGTAAGCCTTTTTATATATATCAGCAAACTAATATAAATTCTAAACAAATGTATATTATAATAATATTTCGTTACCATTCAAAGATGTCCACAAATGTGTTTAGTATTTTAAGAACGCTACAAGTTCCTTTTGCTCAGTGCTCGCCAACCAATAACGTAAAGAAAAGGCAATACAAAAGCGTCACAGATTTATTTACAAGCAACGGGCTTAAAGCCAATTTCAAGAGAATAAAAGAAACCCCAGCAAACAAAGTGAACTCCCAGCCAGGCCCTGTTTTTATCGGAGGGGTGGTGGGTACGAGTAATACGCGTGTATAAAAGAATCCAAAATCTTGATTTTGATTTCAGATACTCCAACCCCCCACCCCCTCCCCCAGGGGGGTTTTCATTCACAGGGGCGGAGGTCAACAAGAGTAGGCGGGGGGTCACAAGTCAAGTGGCGCTTGGTATCCAAAGTCCGGACACCGGAGTCTCCCGAGTCCGGGGCTTCCTATGAATTCCACTTCAATGAATTGAAAAATTGCCTCGAACAAATTTGATGCGCTCTCTTTTTTAGCTGCTTTGCATTTCAGTTACGATTATTTCAGTTTGAGATACGAGAGATGCTTCAGATACAAGATACAAAAAAAAAAGGGAGTTCAAGAAATAAAAATAGGGAGGGGGGGATGGCCCACCGAACATGACATTTGACATTTGATAATGTCATTTGCCGCGTAATTGTTTTTTGATTTGCTGCTTCGCTTTGCTTATTTTAAATTCTTCACTTTTTGCTTTGATTGCTTTTCTTGCGATAGCTAGATATTAAAATGGAAATAAATAGAATAAATGTTTGGCACTTGTTAACGTTTAAGTTCACTTACCAAGAACTGAAATCATCCCATTATTTCTATCTAAAAAATAAACCGATTTATAATTTTAATACCCACATCCACTTGTGTTGTTTATTTATTGGAAATTACGTAACAATTTTTAAAACATCAGTTACCACAAGCGTATAAAAATAAATATGTATATAAAGCCCTCAAAATGTCTTTCAAAGAGGTTCTGAAATGAAAGGAAAATATATAAAAATTAAATTGACGCATAAATTATATTACTAATCTAGAATCGAACCTCCCGATCTTAGACATCAAAGACCTCATCACCAGAATCTTCGGGATCGTCAACCAATTTATTGACATATCGCACTTCGATGAAAATAAGCTCGTTAAAATCCTTGGTAAGCGATACCATTGTGGGATAATCGATGGCCAGATAGCTTTTCGGATAATTGGTGACCATGTCGGGCACGCCTTTAAATTCTGACATTTTCATGAAGTCCAATAGGGACCTGCCCTTGACGCTGCGATCCTGGCAATAAATATAAACTCTACATGCAACATTTGGATAATCATGATCGGCGGTGGCGAGCCAAAATATATACATGGTGGCATGGTCCTTATCATGTGGAACTAGAGGGTCCTTACCGTGCTTTGTTTTCACGGGTGATAACTTCCGACCCACCGACGCCTCAACCGACTCCATGGCGACCTGGGCGAACATTAAGAAACAGGGTATGTGTTCGGCGAAATAGAGAAGTTTCGAGGGTAGCTCTTGGTTGAGCACAAGCCTGGGTTGCGGCACCATGTTGCACGGCATTCTGCCCAGCAAGGCGAGCACACAGATGCAGTAGATCTGCATGGGAGGATAGCAGTCCGGATAGAAGAGCAGAACCATGCGGTCCGTGAGCCAGAGTTCCTCCATTCGGCGACAGTGGTCGCTGAGGAAGTGGGCCATTAGGATCTGTGAGTTTAGCCCGCTGAGGCAACCCTGAATGGGGCACAGGAAGTCGGCGGGTCGGGCCCGATCCTTGTTGGGATAACGCCTGATTCTCGAGGCCATGGGATTGATGGCCAGTGCATCGGGTCGCGGCACTACGCGTCGTTGGTAGAACTCCTTTAAGGACTCCAAATTGGGGGTCCGCATCACCAGACAGGTGTTTATGCCGGCTCGTTCCTCGGCATTGCTAACGGGCTCATCGTATACCTGATTGACGCGACCCTCGTGCCGGAGGGCCCAATGAAGCAGTTTCAGGCAATTGATTCCTCCCTTCAACAACTGACGACCTCGCTCCTGTTGATACAGTTCCACCATCGAAGTGGCAAAGCGGCACCTCAGCAAGAATCTCTCCTCGGGCGGTCTCCGTTCGGAGGTGGCCCGATAGTAGAGCACCCTGAAGTAGGAGACCACCATCACGTGGGCCATCTTAAAAGTGAAGAGTATTCGTTCCCCATCTGGAGTGTTCACGCTGTCTATATACTTAACAATCTCATCGTCTAGCTGGGAATTGGTCAGCGTCTCCAGCTCCTCGGCGGTTCGCTCCTTCGTGAGATAGTGAGCCGGAAAGAAGCCCTCGTTGACGAACCAGTGGAAGAACAGGCCATCGCGCAGTAAACGCTCCCAGTAAAAATGAGCCAAATACTTGCAGATCCTCTTCTGACCATCGATCGGTCCCTTTCTGAACCGCATTCTTGCCACCCATTGGATGATCTGCAGGGAAACGCCATCCAGCTCGAAATAGCACCTAAAATCCCCCTTTAAGGGTATGTACCGCACCACCGGCTCATGCAAGTCCTCCTGAGCAATGTCCTTGGCTGGCTTTCGTCGTTTATTTTTATCCTTTGTCCTTGGCAAATCTCCCATGGCACCGAGATCCATGCCCAATTTCTTGTTGCCACGTTTTTCTGTACCTTTCTTGATGCGCAATAGCTTTCGGATACTTCTTCCGGGAATATCCATGCAGGAATGAAAGGTGTCCGATGGTTGATTGGCATCGTGGCAAAGGGTGGCATTGGAGGAGGCTCTCGATGGAGGTGCACTGCAGGTGGAGTATGAACTGCGACATGAGAGACTGCCTCCTGACGGAATCTTGCTCATCACTGAATTGAACTCCGTGGTGGTGCTGTGATGGGACCTGGCAGACTGAAAATCGCTTTCCGGGTCATTTTCCATAATTTGTATGGAAGTACATTGTAAACAAGATTTAAAGCTCTCTCTGCGCTCGAGAACGGGCAAGTAGACGGCCTTCAGCGGATCCTCGGGAAGGACCAAATGATACAGCCTCTCCTGCTTCCTCAGTCGTTCTCCATCCATTAGGAGGTTCTTCAATCTCTGACCCCTGTCTATTGGTTCGTTGCGTTTTGTAACTTCGTAACTTTTTGGCATTTCTCCAACTGGCTGATTGCGTATCTTAGTTTTTGGCATACGACGCGGTTTCATGATCTTCCGCGGTCGAATATTCAGCAATTTCTGCATTCGCAAACGGTATTCCTTTTTCGACATTTTCTTTGCTGGATAGAGCATAGGATTGCGGGCTTGCTGGATTTTTTTGTACTCGCGCTCGGCCTTCAGGAATTCCTTGTATCTTTTAAATGCTTTATAATACTTTGGGCGCTTCTTTACCCGTTTAATTGGCACATAAGAGTACTTCCTTGCAAGCTCCTCTCTGGCCAGATTCCTTTTTTTCAATTTCATAAACGTTTCCGGTCGCTTTCCTGGAACTTTCCCTGCCTTCCTTTGTTTTTCCTCCCATTTTTTGTCTTTTCTATACTCTCTCATAAAGTAAATGATGTCCCATTGATAATCCGTCAATTCTGGTCCTGTGATCAGTGAAGAAGTCGTTCAAGGCTGCTCCTTTTGGGCGGGGCAAACGAAAAAGATATTTAACTTACCTAGACGTCTGATTTCGGTCAATGTCATTTCCCTCTTTATACCTCGCTGAAGGGTTGGCTTCTCAGCACTTTGATTATTCTCGGTCGGGGGTGCCTTATTATCTGCAAGCTCTTCAGCAGCTCCACGGGCCTTAGTTTTTGCTGATTTAGATACTATTTTTGTAGTTATATATATTAATTGCAAAAGATTTTTTACTTTGGGAAATATTTATACCCGGGAATGTCTAACACATCTCTTCCAACCAAACTCCAATTGAAACTAAAGGTCTCGTAAACAATTTCCAATTAGAGTTAAGATTTTAAAATATAGCAAAACTTTGCAAAATTCTAGGACACCGACGAAAAAAAAGTTTTTGTTTTTCCCATTAATATAAATATTAACCATGGTAGATTTGAGCTATGCCAAAGACAATACTCACCGGACGGGTGTGAGTCCTTGTAGATTAAAAAATCGCAATTGGTGTCAAAGAACTCCTCCTTGCTGGAGAATCGTGAAGTCGGGATCTTATTTTTGGCCTGGTTGGAGGTGCAGGGAATGTTGTCATCGGGAGTACAAGGTCGTGTGATGGGAGTGGAAGGACGAAGGGTGTCTCCCCCGTTGTTCAACCATTTTGCCTGCTTTTTAATGGCCTTGGTGGACTTACGCACCCCTTGAAATGAACATTCCGGGAATCCATCCAAAAATTCATGAGGTCCACTTGGACGGGGGTCTAAATATAAGAAGGATACATATATAAACATTTACATTTATTCTAAAATTAATTACCTCTCTTTTTTACCACTTCCTTTTTCACAGCTCCCGTATTACAAGTGGGTTCTTTCTTATCCTTGCCGATTCCTGTACCTCCACGAGATTCGTCCCGAACCTTGTTGGCCCGAAATTTCTCAATGTGCTCCATTCCAAACTCGTAATCCAAATCGAGTTCCGGTTCCGGATGTATCACTGGCAATTGATGAAATGATTGCTCCCTACTTTTGGCCAAAAGTTTATTCTCTGCAGGTGAGACCAAACAATTTTTATGGAAATATAAAACGATTCTTCCGAATAGCTCACTCACTGGACTGGTTGTGTTGTTTTGGCTCCTTGAAACGAGGATTGACAGTGATTGTGTATTTGGCATGGCCCACCTGATCTATTTTGAACTGACTTGGGGGCCTGGATTTGGGAACAGTTCCTGTGGAACGCTTCTTTGGGGCTCCTTCGCCTCTCAAATGTTCACTTATTTTAAGGAAACGCTCCATTTGAACTACCAAGCTATCCACTAAAGTGAAGATGTCTATGAAATTGATGGTAAGTAATTAACTTGAAAACTGTATAATTAATTTTCTTATTTCTAGTTAACTCACACTTCACACGACTTTCCTGGTTTTTTGCAATAAATTCTGGATACATAAAGGGAGGATCGAATCCCTGACCGTTCACCTTCGGCGGAGTGCACTTGCCCACCAAAAAGGGCAATGGAATGCAACTAGAGCGGTGGTTCATAGGATATGGATACATTCGCGGCGGCAGGGACGGAATCTTAGGCAGTTCCGGAGAACTTGAAAAGTCCACCACATCCTCGGCCAGGATCACGGGATCCGGTTTGTCGTTAAACTCTTGTTGATCCTCTTCTATTACTTCTTTCGATTGCTCTACCTTAAAAAAGGTAAGTAAATGTAATCATTATTCATATAGAATCATACGTATGCTTTAAAATAGTCCGATCGAATAAACACATTTTATGTTCAAATTGATTAAACTCGATTTGTAATTATCAAACCGATATATTTTAACACATTTATCACGTGCTAAAAACAAACACATTTTCAATATGGTGTGTTGTAAATAACCAATTTATAATATAGTAGATTTACGTTTCGGAAATACGTTTTTTAAGAAATAATCATTAAAAAAGCATAATCATTCAAAAGCAACTATCTAATTATCAAAGCAAGGCAAAGAAGCACTCATCTTGTGAACATCATTACTGATGAGAATTTACACGATATTAAAAATGAGTTTATTTTTGTATCTCAAAATAAATGAATTGTAGAAAGGAACAGACATATTGTTGTTAGGCGAAAAATTGGATTAAAGTTGTATTATAATTGGATATGATCCAAAGAATATATAAATAATATTACCTTAACCCTAGTAACATACGTAAACATATATATATTTTTGTCATGACTTTGGGATTATTACCTTTAAGTTAGGCACCTGTAGGGGCTCCACCATTCCATCATCCCCATCCTCGTCCTGAGTGTCGAACTCATAGTTGCTCTCGCCCCCGAGATCTTCCAGTTGGGATTTGATACCGGGTCGATGGCTGATCAGCAGGTTGTGGAGTAGCTCCTGCTCCTCGAAAAGCTGTTGCAGGTGATTCTCTAGGACATCCTCCGGCGTGGCGGCCCGAGCTCGAATCCTGCTCCTATTCCGGTGCTTTGGTCGTGCTCGGGGTCTCTCGGTGTTCGGCATTTCGAAAAACAGTCGGTGCCACGCCTACAACAATTTATATGTTAGGCATCGGTATTGGTTATTGGTCGTGGGTCATCGGGTATTGGTTATTGGTTATCGATTGATTCGATGGACAGGCGCAGTAGAGACCCGAAGGCGGTTCCCTATAGAAAGAGAGCTTTCGGTTTGGTTTTTTCTTTTATTTTTTGTACAGCTGCCACTGCAGCCGTTGTTGTAAATTTAATCAAACACCAAACGAGCGCATATAGTACATCAGAATGTGCGCAGTAAAGAGTAGTGAAAGAAGAGGGAAAAAATTAAATAATGAAGGTACAAAATCGAATGAAAGATACCCTTTAAGTGGGAATAACTACTAAATATTCTCCAAATTTTAATTTCTACTTAACGCCAAAAAAGATTGTCTGCTCCTAAGAAAGAATGGTTAGGTTCAAAATGATTCTCTTAATTTGTATTGCTTCTTAATTTAAAAACCATGAGATTTTCCAAGGAAATTATGTGTTTCAAATTTGTTTTGGAATATCCCCAGAAGTCTTTAAAATATAGGGTGCTAGAGCAACAACTCATTGGGGAACAAGAGGAAATAGGAGCCGCAGCAGAGGAATATTGCTGCGAGAGATGAGAGCGATGTGAACAAAAGAGGGAGAGCATAGCATGAAATTGGCAGTCGTTTGCCAGCACCACCCCCTTTGGACGCCCCTTTTGCACCACCACCCCCTTGACTTTCATCTAGGTGTACGGCACCACCCACCGCCCAACGCCCCACCCTTCGGCGAACCGTAAATTGCACTGCATTTTTATTTAGTTTTCGTTTTCGCTGGTCAGCCAGCCGATGTCAATTTTCCCGCTGTTCAACATCTATATACGTTTAGAAAAAATCTAGAAAGTATATAATCTGGTGTATCATTTCAATCACAAGCCGTACATTATTTGAAGGTAAAGTTGTACATTTTTTAAGCAATGTTTATAAAAAATAGTATTTTAATTGAAAATTTAAGAAAACTAGATAAACTAAATGTTTATCAGAGCAACTCTTTAAAAGCAATTTGAAATTTTTCCTTTTCATTTATATGTTTTTCATACTGCTCGGCGTATTACTTCTTGTGGAATATTTTCCGCATAATTGATTGCTTCCTTTGAGGGAAATTAAGCTTACGATTATCGTGTAGTTTTCCCGATTCCATTTTTTCAGATCTTCCTTCCCTTCGCACGTCGCCTTCCCTTTGGTTTATCAATGTTTTCCGCTTCCACCGTTTCGGTGCACTTTTTTTCGAGTGCTGAACTAGACATTTATCGCCGCTCTCATGTTCACTCAACCCATGGAGCCACCGACTAATAACTAACGTGGCCAGCTCAGCTCGAACTGGTGCTACCCCTTAACCTCCCCCCGGAATACCCCCTGTGCAACATCAATTCTCCCTAGACACTATCAAGCCCCACCCGACAAAGTTAGTTTACGGCCAAAGTTTAACATAAAAAAAAATTAAAGAACAAAAAACGCGAACTGAAAAAATTGCCAAAAAAGAATATCATAAAAAATTGTGTGCAAAAAAATTGGAGGGGGGTGAATTTTTGGTCAAAAGCTAGTCAGAAACCATGCAGGAAATCATGGGGGGAAAAAAATTGGTAAGAAAAAGCTAGAGAAGAAAAAATTGGTTTGCAATGCATTTTTTTCACGCCAAGCTTTTCATTTGGCGCTGGCAGCCATTAGAACAAAAATCAGCAGCATCATCCAGGGGCGGTGGAAAAAGGGGGCTTAGGAAAAAGCAGGGGAGAAAATGGTGGAAAAACTGGGTGGGGGGAAAAAAGAACTGGTGAGCTGTGGTTGTTGCTGCCACACATGTGGAAATTGTGCGCGTTTTGCAGTTTTTTAATTGACCAACAAATTTATTTGATTCGTTAGCAACGCGAATATTTTCTTCCACTGTCCTGGCTTTCACCTTTCGACCCCACTGTTTCCCCCACCCCTGGGAAATCTTTGCTCCCTTATGTTTAAATATATATCTGCATATGCATACAGTGCGTTCCATTAGAGAGGACCATATACAAGAAAAAATACGGAAAGCATCTGGAGCTTTTGTTTTATTTAGATCTTTGGACAACAATACATTAAACAAGAATAGAAGCAAACTTTGGCAAGCTTAAGTTTACTCTACTCTCTAAAAATGAACTATGCTAGATTTCGAGTTCGATGCTTAAAAACAATGGAGCTAGCAATGGCAGCTCTTGATAAAGTCCACCGATTTTGTATAAAAGTATATGGCTATATGTTAAGAAACAACGAAGTTATAATTTTCCCAATTGTTCCTATATGATATAGTAGATCGGCCCGTTCGTAATTATATATTACCTGCAACAGAATAGTTTCATCCAAATAGCTAAATAGCTATAACATTGAGGCAGAAGTTTGTGTAGAAACGGACAAACGGACAGACGCACATGGTTAGATCGACTCGCCTGGTGATGCTGATTAAGAATGTATATTAATATCTAACAAGAAAATGCGCCCAAAAATTGGGCAACGTTAAAAGTAAAATAAAACGTTAAAAGTAATGTAAATGCATATTGCGCTTTAGTGCACAAAGTATTCGCTATTCTCAAGGCTATACAACTTTATCAGCGGCTTATATCTGCGAAACGCACTGTCCTTAAAGCTTGTGCCAATGGCCTGATGTCCGCTGTGAAACGCCGACGTCCCTCCCCCAAAATCAAGTCAAGGGTAATTGAAATTCAAAGCAAGCAGACGGACCAAACACCCAGCACCCTAAAATCTGAAATCTAAAATACGCAATCCAAAATCCCAGGGCCAAAACTGAAAACCGAAAACGGAAAACCGAAATCCCGACACCGAAAACAAGGATACGCACAGGACAGCAAGGAGTCGGTCTCTTGTTGTTTCTGAGGATTACATATTGGTAAACAGCGATTACAACAACCAAGTAACGACAACTTATTGTGCTACAAATTGGTTTGTTTGCCCTGCCCACCGCCCACATTTTTGGATAAGGAGGAGGGGGGATTGTTTGATTTGATTGTTGACTTTATTGGTCAACGCGACGGCGGCCTTTTGGGTGTTGTTCCTTGGCCTATATAATGCCATTGCCCCACGCCCCGGCCTTTGTTGTTTTACGATATTTAATCTATGATTAAAATCAATTAAATGCTACACTTGACTTAATTTATTGTCGCCGGCGAAATCAGACAAGAGTTTTGTCGGTTTCCAAGACAAGTAGCCGCTCATATACCATATACAGGCATACGTATACGTAGTATCCCAAATAACCGATGCAAAACGAAATGGAATGAAATGATGCTCGTAAAAATCAAATCGGTCTCTCTTTCTACCTCTTTCCATCTTGTTAGCCAGCTATCTCTTTCTGCCAATAAAAATCTGGCAGCAAAAATCTACGAAAAAGTCGGAAACACTTTGTCGGTGGCCACTTGGCTTGTTTTTCGGGGCTTTGGTTTGGTTTTGTTTTGTAGTTTTTATCTTTATGGCTCGATCTGGAGTCTCGGTTTTGTGTTCTCCATTCCCTCACCCTCTCACGAGAATTCTGGGTATTGCCGTCTCGTAGAGCAGGGCAGATAATTGTCCACCTTAAACGGGAATCCGAATTGCTAAAAATATATTATATATATGGCAAATATTGAGCTATTCGGGGGGATGGACTAGAAGTTACTCTTAAAAAATAAAAGAGGTAGATTTAATTAAAATCCTTTTAAATATATGCATTAATAATAATGATAAATATTATTATTTACATCATTCTTTAATTTTGTGAAACTTTTTCACACCACAAGCTAAACTTTATAAACTTTAAAACTGTAGAAAAAAAGATTAAACTAAAATTAAATTTATATACTCTTTAAAAATCTTTAAAAAATTGAACATGCTTTTAAGTAGAGTGTTGCTTTAACAGCCATTTAATAGCTTTTGGGCGGGGCATTATAGCTTGTTGAAATTGTTGAAGCTTTGATTTGCTTGACTTCGCGTTGAATTGATCAATGAACTCTACGGCGACCTTGAATGCAACGAAATTGCAAAGAAAAGTGCCTGGATATCATCAATCGAAACCCCCACTCGAACTTGGAAAACTCAATCACATCCGTAAAACACACAAATGCAAATGAAAAGGGGCAAAAATCCGGGGGAGCAAATCAAAAATTCCGTTTAATGATGCAATTGGAGTTTGATGAGTTGGAAAACTGAAGCGACATCCAGTTGCTGATGGAACGCAATCAATGCAGCTGGATAGGATGGGTGGATGTGTGGATCCTTGCTGGCCACCAGGTAAATTGCAACCAATAATAATGAATAATTGAAAATCCAATCAAACACCAAATGAAAACGGAGGCCAGTCTGTATGGCCCATATCCCCATATCCACATATCCCGAAATTTCAGAGGAGTGAGCCCGTGTCCTTTGGTGGCTGGTGTTGATTTTGCCGGCTTTATCGAAGGACATTAGCAAACGGTCGTTGGGTTTTCGCCTGCAAATGCAATCAAACGCGTGGGGCAACAGCAACAGCAAAAGCAACATATCCAGCAGCAACAGCAACAGCCACATGCACAACAGCAACAGCAACATCCACGGCAGCAACATGGAAGGATAAACCAAAGCAACCTGCATAGATGACACCCCAGGGACATGGCAAAAGTCAATGAATGGTAATAGGTGTCGACATGGCCTTCTCACACATACACCCACCTACCCACCGCCCACATTTGGACGCAATAGGGGGGCGTGGCAAGCAGCAACATCAACGTGTGGCGGCCTTTTGTCCTGCTGTTGTTTTTGCTGATTGCCACTTTCGGCAATGGATCGAATGCCAGAATACTGGACTTTCGAAATGGGGAATGGAAATTGGGAATGTGAGGCAAACTTGGACTAAAGAACCCTAGTAGCAGCATACATTAATTGCCAGTTAAATTGAGTCTGACTGGTTGTTTGGGATGGAAAGTAGATCTAAAGCCAATCAGAAGTAGATTCGATTTTTAAGGGCCGTTTCGGTCTTAAAATGCATAAG